GGAGGGGAGGAGGGGAGGGTCCAGTCAGTGTGTGTGCCACTCCGAGCAGGTGGACCTGTGCTGTAAAGGCAACTGGCTGAGCACAGGTTGGAGAGGCAAGCCGGTAAGCAGTGTTCCTCCACTGTACTTCAGCTACTGCTTCCAGGGTCCTGCCCTGGACCCTGAATCCCCTCAGTGACGAACTGTCACCTGGGCGACGTGAGATAAAACAAACCCTTTCCTCCCCAAGTTGGCTTTGGGTGTGGTGTTTATCACAGTAATAGAAAGTAAGTAGGGCACTGAAAGTATTTCTCCTTTCAGAAAAAGAAAATTAAGCCTATGCTACGTGTAAGGTTTCCATTGTATTTTGAATCACGTGAATCACTGTCATGATTCATGACAGACAAACCAGAATATTCTGTTATGCCCATTAGAGTCGGTTAGCCAATGGAAGTCAGATTTCTTCTGCCAAGATTCTACATGAAAATAAGTCAATAAGAGATAAATTCTCCACTTCGGATGCAATGGCCTTAGAGACGCAGGGCAATGAGAAGCTGATCAGCTCTGTTTTAACAACAGACTGGAACACTATTAGGGTCACATCCTTTCCAGCCAGAGCCATGACAGAAGGCCTAGGGACCCAAATAGCTGAGCACACACTAGGGGGTCCCCTCATGATTCCATTCACACTAAGTTACATCTACCCTAAGAGAAAGCATCCTTAGTCCCTGAGTTTCTTCTATGCAGGGACCAAGAGAACAGAAGCCTGGGCCACTGGTGCCACTTCACACCGGCCATTTGATTCACACAACTAGGAAGTAAATAAATAGCTTTCATTTCTTACAGCCCAGAATACCTTAAGTTTCTCATTCAGGTGAACTTGAGTCTTGCAATGGTATGTGCAAGGGACTGAAGCAAGTTCACAGAGGCCACCCTATAACCATAGAGAACTGTCCACACTATCATACAGTTCAAAATCTCCAAGGCTAGGCTTTACTTTCTACTTATTTTTACTTAAGTGGAGTTTTTCTTTGTTTTGTTTTGTTTTTTCCCCCAGAGCCTTCCTACATAGTTCAGGCTGGCCTTGAACTCAGCAACTCTCTTGCCTCAGCTTCCAAGTGCTGAGATTACAGGCACCAGCCACCACACCATATCTTGAGCTTTCAGTCAGGCTTCTAATACAAGAGATAAAATTACATACAAAGTTCTGCAAGACAACACCTATATTGCAGTACATACACTCAGAAGTGGAGTGGCTCCTCACCTTTGCTTGTTTAGACGTGTTGAGTTTGATGGCAGATACTCTGCCCACATGATCACCTACAAAAAGTCTCAGAAGAGCTGTATCCCAACAGAGAGCAGTAACTTTTTGGCCTTTGTGTTCTGAAGACACATGAATCCGTTCTGGTTTACCACGACGCTCTTGATTTAATTCCCAAACAACTACAAGACCTTGACTGCAGACATCAAGTTACAAGCAAAGTTATAGATACAACTTAACTGCATTTAATATTAGCCATAGTAAGTACACGTGCAAACTTATTCTTCAGGGGAAGAAAAAGAAGTTGAAAGCTAAGGCAGTCACAGGGCTGGAGAGATGGCTCAAAGGTTAAGAGCACCGACTGGTCTTACAGAGGAGCCGAGTTTGATTCCCAGCACCCACAGGGCAGCTAACAACTGTCTGTAACTCCAGTTCCAGGGGAGTCTGATGCCTTCCTCTGACCTCCATGAGTATTGCACAGCACAGGTGCACTTACACACATGCAGACAATATACTCATACACACGTAAGATTAAAAAAAATAATAAATACAATATTAAAGAAAAACAGGGCATTCACTTCCTTGTTTTGGGCACCGTATCAATAAAACAGAGCTTAAGTGTCTGGAATTATCTCTGTTCCCTTTCTCTTTGAAATGTTGTTGCCTCAAATTGACAGTTTCCACAAACACTAGGGTGATAAAACTGCCCATCCTGGATGGGTTGGGCACTCAGCAGATTTGGTTTCCGAAGATACCACTGTGATAGTGCTAGGCAAAATGGGATGGCTGTTCACCCTAACACACACATTTGTTAGTTTAACAGGCATGTAGAAAAGATGACAGCTTTGAAAGGTTCCCACCTGGTAGCCACAGCAACATAGTCGTCATCATGTGGGCAGCAGGCAATCTGAGAGAGTGCACCTTCCTAGGACAGCAAAGAAAGAGCAGTCCATTTACATTCTTCTTCTCAGCGATGAACTACATTGGAGAAACTCACGTTGAGGAAGGAATGGTGTGTGAAGGTCCTTAGTCTTACCCGGTGTGCAAGGTAAAGCCTGTGGCTCCAGCCATCTTTCTGAATGAGATTGAGTCCTCCTCCTGTACTGCCTAATGCCAACCATTTCCGAGACACAGCTATGCTGGTACACTAAAACATGAAGAGGCACATGTGAGAGGACTGTGGTTCCTTCCTATCCACCAGGGCCAGGGGTACCGCCTGCATGCACAAGGCCCTGGTTCCATCCCCAGCGCTGCAAACAAATAACTATCCACTGAAAATAAACACTGCAGGTGTTTTAACTCTGGAATACTGACAAATACCAAACAAAGAACAGTTTGTTTAAACTTGCAGTTGAATTGCTAAAGAATGAATAGGTGCAACTGTATAAATGAGTAACTTTTCTTTGGCAAAAGCCAGCTATTAAATGGTTCATATTTTGTATAATTTGGCCAGGTCATTCCCATGCTGACCACAAATAAATTACCAGGGAATGAAGCAGCTGCTTTAGTCGCCTCTTCGCCTACTTCATTTCTAGTCCATACACAGCACACAATGCCCGCAGCCCTTAACGCAGTGGGCTAGAGAGGGCTCAGACACAGGCCCTGCACTGCCAGTCTCCTCACACCCTCCACCTGCTGAGCCCTTCCCTGAGCCACCTCAGAAAGTAGTGACCATGTTGTGCCCAATACCGGCACCAAAGTTGTTGGTTGACTGACTAGAAGCTATTTCAACTCTCTCCAACTTTGTCACTTTCCACAGAGAAGTTGAAAAACCCAAATATGCACTTTGTTAGTTTCCACTGCTGACAGGAATGGCCAAGTGACTCAATCCCAGTCAGCAGACTTGGCTTGCTGGAAGGCCTGCTGGAACTTCATGGGAAGCTTTATCTTCCCAGATGAAAGGTAGGGTCAAGATAATTTCAAAACCTTTGCTCTATAGCGGAGTGTGGTTGTGCGTGCCTTTAATCCCAAGGCAGAGGCAGGCGGATCTCTGTGAGATCAGGCCAGCTAGGGTTACAGGGAGACCCTGAGTTGCTGATATGATAATTTAGGGTAGGGCCAGAATATTACACCACTGCTACTATGAGTAAAAGTCCACAAATAGACGATGCCAAAAGAGGAAAGACGGGGAATCTGTGTCCTCAGTGACACCTCTGGACCACGACAGTAAACCAGTGACACTAATTTATGAGATTGTAAATGTTTTTGTTGCATAAACAGCTATTTGTCAGGTACGCTACAACTTGCAGATGAAAAGTACTCTAAGAAGAATAATATACTTTTGTAACTGATTCTAACTTTATTTTAAACTTCACTGTGACATTTTTGTACTTCAGCAAAAAGGACCAACATTTCAGGGACCCATGGACTTTCCACAGAGCCAACTAACCTTTGCCTTGCTCCCTACGCAAGGCTGTATCAAAGTCCCTGTTCTGAAGTAACTGTGTAGTTCGTGCTGCTCAGAAACACAGTGGAGTACGTGCCTTTACCGTTTTAATGTCAATGAAGCACCCTGCTTTCTGAGAGAAGACAGCAAGATTACCAATTAAAATCAGTATCCTATTTCAAAAGCTGGGAAAGAATTCAAATGATGACTCAAAAGATAAAGAAAGAGCTAGGAATATGCTACTTCTGTGTAGGCATGACAGAGACAGGCAAGACAACCAATACGCTGCAAATACCTGGAGGGCGGGGCAAACGCAACAGCGCACATACACACATGGATGTGAAAATCCGCCTCATGGGCTATGTGAGACTGTCTCAGAAAAGAAAAAAAAAGCTCACCTTTAGGCGACTGGAATCCAGACGCAGGGCTGTGAGAAGTGGGTCCAGTGACTCAAACTCCGCGAGGACATGGCTGTAGGATTCTGGTATCACTGGCACACAAGTCATTTAGCTGGGAAGATGAAACTTGGTTCTGCGTGGGACACAGGAGCTCTCACTGAATAAAGTCTGCAAAAATACAATTTGAGATCACTGTTCATTCAACACACATTTAACACAGGAAGATGGGGAGAACATGGGCGGTGAAAGGGGCAGCGGGCAGCCATCTCTGGAGTGTTGAGAGGGTAAACACATGGACACCGGAACCTGCAGAGGCATGCTCAGCCCACTCCCCGACTCCTAAACTCCCAGAGTTTCAGGCCTGGGTTTCTGAGTCCCTCCATAATCCCATCCCACTACATTATGGAACAGTTAGGTAGGAAAAACTGGACACAGCAGGACTTAAAGGAAAACTGGTCAAGCTCCTATGGAGACAGATGGCAATCTCACTGTATTTCTTTCAGTTGTAAATCATCTGTCTTTAGGAGGCTTTCATTAAAACGCAACCTTCTTTAAGGGCCTCAAATTATAAAGCCTCATCATCAAATCCTTGTTATCTAGGGGTCTTACCAAGAATTCAATAGTGCTAAACAGAAAGAGGTGTCTGGATCTCCAGCCGAGTGGGGAAGCCTAGCTCCCTATCCATGTTGAAGGAGTGATGCACCTAGTAAGTGAAAAGTGAGGTACAAAGAACTGGACCACAGAGAAGAAGGGCTTCAGCCTGGCCAGCTGGCTCCACAGTGGAAGGCACTTGCTGCCAAGCCTGGGATGAGTTCGGTCCCCAGACCCCACAAAGTAGAAGGACTGACTCCCGAACGTTCCCTTCAGACTTCGTGCCACACGCGTGCTGTGGGACTCATACTTCAACACACATGCACATATACATCCTAAATTAAAAAAATAAATAAATAAGGGCTTCATGAAAGAAGCCAAAGAGGAATGAAGAGGGTTAAGAACATAGGGAAGCAAATGCCCAGCAGCCAACAGAGTTCTTACATATTTACTCCCAAGTACACATTTTTGTCAAACGTCACTAATTTCTAGGGGGAAAAGAGAGAAATGTGAAAACTCTGATTGTTATTTGTTTAGTTTTTATTCATGACCATAAATTTAACTCTGCAAACCAGTTAGACATGAAGAACTAAGGAAAAGATGGAAACCAAGAGCTCCAGTAAGGGCACAAAGACCGGAGGAGCCTGCAGGCAGACGGGGGCACTCTCCTGAGCTAGAGGAATGGTCTGGCAGGGAAGATGCTCACAAGTCAAATGCATCAGAGCTGTCCACAGCGGGCAATGGTCACCTTGATCATCTTTTCCAGACCCAAAGCACTCTATGGCTTCTACAATGCTCAAGCCATTTTCATACGGCTAAAAGCCACATGCTTGCCACCGACCATTCAGTCCTAACAGTGCGTATGACAGCCAGGGAACCATGTGTGTTTAGGCCAGCATTTGCCATGGACATGACGCCAGGACCTGCAGGTTCCGGGATGAGGTTCTTATCATTCTGGTGAGATTTCATCCCATAAATGGATCTGCTACCAGTACCATGATGGCATGTGAGCACATGAACCCTGAAATAATTTCTCAAAAGCAGGAACCCCTACAACCAAATCTCTTCTCTTCAGGGCCCAGAGCATAAAACTTTCCTCCTGTCTTTGGAAATCTGTCTACAAACAGCTTGAAGGAGATGCAGCCCAAGGGCTTACCATCAATGGCATTGCCAAGGAACAGAGCTGAGCTGACCATGGCTGGCATGGAGCAGCTGCAGGGGATGGAGCAGCTGCAAAACCCTGCCCATTCATTGTAACTTTTCTCCATCTTCTGCCACCTACTAAGTTAAGACTAGAAAACAATCAAGATAGGGAGATGGCTCAGAGGGTCACGTGCTTGCTGTGTAATCACGAACACCTGAGTTTGGATCTCCAGCACAAATATAAAGGCTAGGCACAGCAGCACGTTGAGGAAGACACCTGATGTCAACCTCTGGCCTCCACATGCACACAGGCAAGGGAACCCACACAAATATACAAATATATCACATATACACAAAAATAAAAAGAATTTAAAAGGCAAACAGATACCATGAAAAAATTTAGAAACACCTGGTTATATTCATTTTTAATCAATGTTTTGATTTTGACTTTTTTTTTTTAGAAATATTCACTAAATGCATAACTGAGCATTACCAGATGACAGAGAAGACAAAACAAAGTCCTAAACTTCATGGAACACATCAGTGGTAAAACAGAAACATATGGAGGGTTTTTATCTTATTTCTGTGGTATCAGGGATCAAAACCCAGGCCATGCACAGACAAGGCATGTTTTCTATCACTGAACGTGTCTAGACCTTTCTTGTGAAGGTTTTACCGTGCCCATGTAACACAGCCTAATTCTCTGTTAGCCAATTATTCTTAGAAGAGCTTGATCCCAGTAAGGAGGCCTGTATTTTTTTTTTTTTTTTTTTTTTTTTTTTTTTTTGGTCTTTTTTGAGACAGGGTCTCCCTGTAGCCCCAGATGTCCTGGAACTCGCTATGTAGACCAGGCTGGCCTTGAACTCACAGAGATCCACCTGCCTCTGCCTCCCAAGTGCTGGGATTAAAGGCGTGCGCCACCACGCCCGGCTAGGAGACCTGTATTTTAAACAAGCGAAGGTTAGCAAGCCAATAACTCAAAATATGACAATTCCCAATTGAAGAAAACTTTTCTCAGTCATTCATTTTATTGAGTCCTTAGTAAAACAACAGGCACAGAAAGAACATAATTCCAGAAATCAGTTCTCATCAAATAAAGGGAAAGGTACAAATACCGTATGCACATATAAACATACAGAGATCACACTGTCAAAGGAAGCCAGTTCTCTGGAAAGTAGCACTAATTCCAGGTAGACTTTTATCAGGAGGAAAGGGAGGGAAGAAGGTAGCAGATAGAGGTGGAAAAGTGCGGAATACACTTGGAGAATACAAATTTGGTTGAAACACAATACAAGTAATGGAGTCACGAACCTGTGACAGTAATTTGAATTTTAAACCAAAGAACCTAAACTATTTGGGAGGTCACAGAAGGGCACTGCAGGATTTAGTGTGGAGAGTTTGCACAGTTTCTGTAAAGCGCTGTGGGTAGATGCTTACAAGGATTTGAAAGTAAGAGGTGAGGGATGAGGAAGTGAAGATGAAGCAGGGCCATTATCAGGAAGTCTGTGAAAGGAGGAAGCCTTGCTTAGCGTTCCAAACACAGAAGGTGTAAAACATATCTAACTGGTAAAGCCCCACCCGAATAGCTTCCTTTTCCACATATGATCTCATCTCTCCAGTTAAGTCAACCAAACAGGACTAGTCTTGGGTTCCTCTTCCTTCTATAAGCTCGTGCCTCTACGATTTGACTTATGATATTCTCGGAATCGTCTCCATCTAACAAAGCCCTATTTTTCCACAAATCTGAGTCTAAATTCTGGCATTGGCATTACCACACCAAAACCCCCAAAGTCGGTGAGACATCTTTTTAGAAGGATGGCTTGCCCAAGGGGTACAAAATTCATAAAAGACAGAGCTGAAAATGGAATACACAAAAGGGCTCACTTTTTCCGTTTCCCCAGATTATTTGACGATAATGTACAAGAGGGGTAAGCGGTGACGGCTGCTAGCACAGCCCATGCAAATCAGTTGCACTGGTGCGTGGGAGGAAAGAGCCGAAAGCAACAAAGTAGCAAAAACTGTAGAAATTATGCAAAGGAGAACTGATATCTTATTCCATAAAAGACTCTACAAAGAAGGCATAGCATGCATCCACTCAAGCAAGCATCCGAGCGCCTGCAGTGCTGTAGGCCGGCAGAGACCTGGCGGTGTAGGAGCAGAGGCCAGGAGCGCCACGGCCGCCGCAGCTATCTTGCAACAGAGGAAAGCTGGAGGCTGCCCAGGTCTCCCGTGAGGAAACCGCGCGACAAGCCCCCGCCAGCCGCGCCCCGCGGGCCGCCCTCCGCCCACACTGCTCGGCCGCGGCCCGGTCACTCTCTCCGCCCCACGCCCCACAGACACTCACCACACTCAGACCCGGAGACCTGAAGTTCAGCCGCCCAAGCGCCCCGCCCTCCCTGGATGACGTCATCCAGGGGCGCCCTGACGTCGCTGTTAACGGCACTTCCTTGTCACGTGACGGGTACGCCCCTCCCCGCGCGAGAGCCCGCCCCCCCAGGCCGCGGTCGCGATTTTGCTCCCCGCGGCCTGTAGTCGGAGCCCCGCCACGGCGGAGGACACGCTGCCTAGCGGGACCGGAGTCGCTTCCAGACGGATGGCGGGCCGAGCCGAATCCCCGGAAGCCTTCGCCACCCGAGACCAGAGAGAGGAAACGAAACAGGCGGGGATCGGTGGGGGAGGGCGGGTGTTGGCGAAAGTGTCATGGCGGCCGCATTCGGTGGTCACGTGTCCCAGAGGCCCGCCCCGCCACTTCCGGTCACGTGCCCACAGAGCGCTCGCTGCCAGCGATGGAGGCGAGATCCCCCAGCCCCAGAGGCTGTGGCGACGGCTGCGGCCGCGGGGTTTCAGCCGCGTCCCTGCAGCGACTCTGAGCAAGCGGCGGAGCGGGCCCTGCGCACTCGCGTTCCTTCCTCCCGGCTGGCGGCGGCTTCTCCCACCCGGTAAGTTCCGACCGCGGCGAGGGCCGGCGGGCTGACAGGCCCGGGGGCCCGGGTGGCCGCGGGGTCGACCCCGCCGTCGAGCTCTCCACAGCTTCGAGCCGGCCGGTCATTCGGCCGCCAGGCCCTCACCCGGAAACAGGATAGCAGCCTTCCGCCGTGTGTCCCGCCCGAGGACCCGGGTCCTTCCGTCGAGACGGACGCGGGTTCCAGTCGGGCTCGGCTCGGGATCGAGGAAGTGGAGGCCTCTCCTGCCGGGCCTCCCGCGACCTGTGCCCGACCTTCCGTCTTCTCCAAAGCCCTGGCCCAGCCGGCTTCCACCTGTCAGTCGGCGCCCGGAATCCTTACTAACACGTGAGCCCATCCGCACACCCAGGTTTAGTCATGGCCGGTGTGTCGGGTCGTGAAAAAGACACCATCAGTGCCTGGAAGTGTGTCGTAGTGTTAGCTCCCCAGTGTCCTCGGGCTAAATTAGAACGAATGTCCAATTGGCCTATTTTAGCATATGTAGGAAGAGCGTGCGGAAAAGAATTGCTAAAACTTGTGCGGTCGAAGACCCCAGTTGAAAAATGTAAAACTGATAGTTTGTGGGTTGGGATACACGTAGCTAGAGGTTGAGTGCTAGCTCAGCATATGTAAGGCCTGGGGTTTCATCGCCAGACGGTAAAGAAAAACGGCAGTGGGTGCACAGTATAGGCTGCTTGGCTAACAGAAGGCCCAGGTACTCGCCCTAGCACTGCCCCCCAAAGAAGAAAACACCTTGCAGTGAGTACTGGCTCCAGACAAAACATTCTCAGTAGCCAGTCTTGTAGGCGTCAGACGTTTTAAAAGAACATTTCTCCCCGTGAATTTTTGCCTGGAATTCCAATTAAAGCAGCATGCTATGCTGGAACTGAAGATCAGCCTCTCCCTCTCTCTTCAGTTCTTGGGGAACACAGTTTGAAGAAGTCAGAGCAGAAGGGAGGGAACTCTGTTAGCAGCCTAATGGCTTGGGAGAGGATTTTGTGCTATGAGCAAACTTTTTTTTTTTTTTTTTTTTTTTGAGACAGTCTCCCCAGTGTAGTCCATGCAGGCCTTGAATTCATGGCAGTCTTACCTTGGCCTCAAGTACAGGGATTACAGGCATCAGCCACTGTGTCCAGTTTAAATCCTTCCTGCTTAGGTGGAGAGATAGTCAGCTACCTTTACCTTCCCGTCGTTTAGCAGTGGGGCAGATTGATGGATCTGAGACTTTCCTAGGTGAAACTTAAGTACTGCAGTACAGATGTTTAAAAAAAAAATTAATCAAAAGCCAGGCTTGATGGTGCTCGAATTTAACCCCACAACTCAGGAGGCAGATGCAGGCCCGTTCCTTGAGTTCCAGGCCAGCCACAACTACATGGTGGGATCCTGTCTGAAAAGAAAAAATACTTCAGTTGAATGCAGGAGTTGTTTAAAAATATTTGGAAGATTGGTGCAGCAAAGAAGAATCTGCTAAAAGAAGGAGACAGCCAGGCTTGGGGGCACGTAATCTCAGCACTGAGGAGGCAGAGGCAAGTGGATCTCTGAGAGTTCCAGGCCAGCTGAGGCTAAGGCGAATCCTGTCTCAAAAACAAAGTAGAAAAGCAAATGACTGGACTTGTGACTTGTGGCCTGTGCCCTCCAGGCCTCGACCTCCACCTGGTGCTTTGTCTTTCCGTCTGAGCTTGTTTGTCCTTCCTTTTCCCCACTGTGCCCTCGGAATGTTGTCCAGTGAACCTGGAACTTTTCTAACAATTTTGGCCACTTTTTTGTTATGGATCCTGCTGCTACAGTTGTCTTTGTGCTTTTCTGCCTTTCAGTATTTAGAATGGCAATGTCAGGCATTGATCTAAAGTCCCTCCTTATCCCACTGTGATTACCAAGTGATCATTTCACCCTTAATTTTTGTAATCTTTCTTTTTTTGGTCTTTTTGATACAGGGGCTCCCTGTGGCCCCAGCTGGTCTGGATCTTGCAGAGATCCGCCTGCCTCTGCCTTCCAGTTACTGGGATTAAAGGCATGTGCCACCACACCCAACTCAATTGGTAATGTATTCATGGCATGCAGTATACACTAGAAAGATATTGCCCATTTCCTTCTGTTACGCACCTCTGTCTGATTTTCCTTAAGATTTTGTTTGTGAGACTACCCTTATTTTGGCATCTTTTCGCATACTTTTAAGGTTTTGTGTCCTGTAATGTGGATTGCTGAAACATTTGGACTGCTCGATGCCAAGCAGCATTCTAGAGCTCTATCTCAGCCCACCTTATTTAAGACAGGGTCTTACCACTAGCTCAGGCTGTGAGCTTGACAGTCCTCCTGTCCTCTGACTTCACATTCTGGGCAGAGGTCTGTGTTTTTGCTGGTAGATGTGGCAGCTCTCTCTCTTTTCAGCCTTCCTTTCCAGGAGAGTGATAAGGGTTTACCTCGTTCTATCCTTGGAAAAGTGAGACGGGTAGGGATGGAAGTGCCCAACCTCAACTCCATCAGTTTTTACTTATCCCTATTTTTTGTTGTTTGGTTGCTTTTGTTTTCGATGTTTTGAAACAAGGTCTCCCAGTAGCCCCAGCTGGCCTGTTACAGACCATGCTGGCCTGGCACCTGCCTTTTCCAAATAACGGAACTAAAGGCCTACACCACCATCCCTGGCCTAACTCTATTTGTTTTTTAGGTTGGGTTTTTGGTTTTTTGGGTGTTTTTTTTTTGAGACAGGGTCTCCCTGTATCTCCAGCTGACCTAGAACTCACCAGGCTGGCCTTGAACTCACAAAGATCCACTCTACCTCCGAGTGCTGGGACTAAAGGTATGCACCACCATGCCCAGCCTGCCTAGGTCTATTTATAGGTCAGGATCTGGTTTCTGGAGTCTGAGGAATGGCATTCTGATCTATGAATTGAAAGCTATAGTGCTATACTGCACCCTGTAGTTGAGTTGAGGATGTACACGCAAAGGTTTCTTGTGTCTTGCGAAGAGTGAATTGTTTTAACAGCAAAGATCTTACATAGATGTTAGAAAATATATATTAGACTCTAGGAACTACACACTGTGCTGCTGGGTGCTGTGTTGCAGTGAACACAACACATGTGACCTTTTCCTTAATGAAGCTTGCAGTCTAGCAAGGGAGATCTACATGAAAAGAATCATAACCAAGGCATGGTGGCTGGCACACATTTTTAATCCCCACACTTGAGGCAAAGAAAGGATGGTCTTGAGGCCAGCCTGGTTGGCATAGTGATTTCCAGGCCAGCTGGGGCTACAAGGAGAACCTGTCTCCAGACCCCCCCCCCAAAAAAAAAAGGTCTTGTGACAGATTATTTCATAAAGTAAGTAATTCTTTCAAGTAAAGCTTAAAGAGCTCTTTACAGGGAATTTTAGCAGACACATTAGCTGGGACAATTGATAGTTAGGTCCAGTGTTCACTAGCTACTCTGATTTTTTTTTTTAATGGATAAGGAGGGAGAGATACTCGGGGACTAGGGAATGCTATACAAATATTCAACCTCTGAACTGCATCCCCAGCTTTGCCATAAATGAGTTTTAATACAAATAGTTTCCTGGGTTATGGGGCTGGAGAAATGGTTCAGAGGTTAAGAGCACTGGCTCTTCTTAGAGGGGACAAAGGTTCCAGGTTCGGTTCCCAGCACCCACATGGCACGACTGACAGCCGTCCATCGGAACTCCAGTTCCAGGGCATCTGACCCCTTCTCCTTTGTCATTGCATGCATGTGGTGCACTTACATGCACGTGGTGCACTTACATGCTTGTAGGCAAAACACTCATACACATAAGAATCCGTTTTTAAAATTTCTTTTAAAAAGTTTTTTTCCCAGTTGATTTAAATGCTCACTGAAAGTTCTATGAACATAATAAATTCTTGACTTCCCAGTGTCTGTGTCTTTACCCTTTTTCTACCTTATCTCCCCTACTCAGAAACCTTTTCTGTTCTTTTCCAAGGCTGACATTTTATACCAATAAGAGACCTTCTCTATGAGCTCTACTTGCCCACTGCTTTGCTTCCGACCGCTTATATATTTAATATTGTAGAGTTGTGTGGTAACTCCCCAATTCTCTCCAGTCTTTTACAGATTCTAATTCATGTTTCCTAAAATGTGTTTTGCAGTGTGTAGTATCATTTTATATTCTGCAGTCAGGATGGTCTTTTAAATTTTTAATCATTGCCTGTTTATTAAAATGATTATGGCAGAGTTAGTGTTAAATTATTTAAACTAGCAGTTCCATAAATGTTGCAAAGTTTCCATTTATTAAAGTTTTTAATCTGTACATGTTGCAGAAATTGAAAGTAGAGGATGTAGCTTTTTCCTTAACCCACATTTTTCCCTTGTTAGCTTAGAAATACTTGGTTTATCTGGGCTTGGTAGCACACACCTTTAATCCCAACACTCTGGAGGCAGAGGCAGGCAGAGCTCTTGTGCATTTGAGACCAACCTGATCTACATAGTGAGTTCCAGGCCAGCTGGGGCTTACAGGGAGACCCTGCCAAAAAAAATTTTTTTTTGGTTTACTAGATAAGCAATTTTTGGGAAGACTTTCTTTATTTTCTTTTTGAGACAAGGTTTCATTATGTAAACCCGTTTGGCCTGGAACTCACTATGTAGAACAGACTGACCTGGGAACTTGCAACAGTGTTTCTGCCTTAACCTCCATAATGCTGGAAATTTCATTAATTTGTCTGATCTGCGTGTGTGTGTGTGTGTGTGTGTGTGTGTGTGTGTGTGTGTATACAACTATCAGAAGTCTGTTTTCTTCTGCCACCTTGTGGGATCTAGGGATTGACCTTGGGTTGTTAGCTGACTCAAAACAAAAATGCAGGTTTGTTGTAGATAATCAGGTAAAAAGAAGTAAAAATCAGTTGTCGCCTACCCTTCCTGATGTATGCACTTGAAGAAACATACATGCTGTCTAGTGCAAGTCTGAGGCTAAACTGACCCAGATTCAAACTTAGTTCTTCCACTTCAGGGATACTGTGTAAAAACTTCTTGATGTCTCAGATCTAGTTTCCTTATCTACAGAATTGAACTAACTATAGAGCCTGCCTCATAGGATTAAGGGACTAAGTATAGGGACTAAATGAGATAATGTTTGTAACTGGTGTAGTCCAGTGTCAAGCTCATATTTACCATTACCTCTTAAAATCCTTTCTACAAGACTTTAAAGACAGGGTCTCACGGCAGCACAGACAGGACTTGCACTCTGACTCTTCTCCCTCTGACTCCTGAGTATGAGATTACTGGCATGCCTCACAACATACCATATTGATTCCCACAAGTGAAACTGGTAATATAAATCCTGAGATAGTATCTAGAGAGAAGAGAGAAAAAAAATGACCAGAAAAAAGCATGGGGGTATATTCAGGAGTGGCGGAAATGTTTGTTGTGCTTTGGGTTGTGATATGTGAGTGTGTACAGTTGTCGAAAACATCAAAACAGAATGCCTTTTGTTGATTTGTTAATTATACTTCAATTTTTTAAATTCTCTGGCAAACCTTTTCAGGTATTTCACATTTACGTAAAGAAATTGTCCAAGTTCTATCCTCTCTCCAATTATTTTTGTCTCTCTTTTTTAATCTGTTTTTATTTTATGTGTATGTGTGTATTGCCTGCATGTAGATAAGTGCACCCATGTTGTACAAAGCCCAAGGAGATCAGAAGAGGCATGTTAGCTACCCTGCCATGTGGGTGCTGGGATTCAAACCCAAGTCTTCTACAAGAACAACCAGTGTTCTTAACCGCTGAGCTATATCTCCAGCCCCTATTTTTGTCTCCTTTAGAGCTTGATACTATCTCATTTGTATGTACTAAGAGCACAGCATATACATTTTGCCCTACCACTAAGGAGCCACACATCCCTATGGTGCCTAGATAGGATAACTTCTCAAATTATACTTTAAACTTCACCTAAAGAAGTTAGTTTTAAATTTTTATTTTGTAAGCTCTTCAATTTTCTGAATGAAAACTGAAGTCATTTCTTTACCAGAAATGGCATCTGCGTGACATTTGAGCCAGTTTTCCCTATCCTGGCCAGTGACAGACATCACCATCTGTTTTGGCACCTTTCCATTGAGCCCAGACAGCTTCAAAGTCTTTTTCAACCTTTATTCCAGTGAACCACTTTCAGGTCTCAAGGGTTTGGGTTAGATACTGAAGACTTCCAAAAAGAGGAGCTGTGGGAACGCCTCCATCCAGGCAGTTTCCTGGGTTGCTGATAGCCATGTACTAATAAATCCTTGGCCAAGACCTGTAGAAATACAGAAGACAATCAGTTGTTGAAAAGGAAGGTAGTTACTGAAGCTTACACTATTAGTCTCTTGGTTTACTTTCAGGCACACAAAAGAATCTAAGGCCAAGCATTAGGAAACGGGCGTGATTTCAAGCAGTGGTTCTGGGAAGGTCGCACAAATTCTCTGACCTTTGTTTTAGTCAAATAGCCAATATTTATTAAATATTAGATACTAAAATATTTAGTAGGATCATGTAACTCTAAAGTTCTGTAATTCTAAGTTCGACGTGTTACTTCACACTTATAATCCAATACTTAGAAGGCTAAGGCAGGCAGATTGGCAGGAGTTTTAAAGCCAGCCTGGGCTACAAATAAATAGTAGGTAAGTAAAGTTCTACAATTCTAGATACAGATTAGATATAAGACCATAGGTTTATAGTCAACCCATGTGTTTATGGTTCAGTAACACACCTGAGGGACCAGTAGGGAAAAGCACTTACCTTGAAACCAACCTGAGTTTGGACCCAAGTTTTAAATCTACTTGGTAGGAGGAGAGAACCAACTCCTGAAAGTTGTCCTCTGACCTTGACATTACTGCGTTCACATACATCATAAATATAATAATATATGTATAATATTTATTTATTTTGGTCTTTTTGAGACTGGGTCTCCCCATAGTCCCAGCTGGCCTGGAGTTCACTGCGTAGACCAGGCTGGCCTCGAACTCACAGAGGTCCACCTGCCTCTGCCTCCTGATAAGATATTTTAAAAAAGGATATAGCTGAAGAAAATAAATTTAAAACATTTATTAGCATCTGCAGAAATGGTTTTAAAAACAGCCAGGTGTTATGTAAATTCATACATGTGGTTTGAGGAAAGTGAAAATGAAATTTGCAGAGGATTATTGCCACACAACTTTGACTTTGAACAAGAAGCTAATTGTCCATGTTACTGCAGTATAGATTTTAGACTGAAAGGGACTCTACCAACCCAAATTGATGTGCTTTAATTCTCTATTTTTTTTCCCTGTTAGCACCTTAGAGCCATCATGGCAACTTCATCTGAAGAAGTATTGCTGATTGTCAAGAAAGTGCGTCAGAAGAAGCAGGATGGAGCTCTGTACCTCATGGCAGAAAGAATCGCTTGGGCGCCTGAAGGCAAAGATAGATTTACAATCAGCCATATGTATGCAGACATTAAGTGTAAGTCACATGTACTAATGTCTGTGCGTGTCATATTTGCTAATAACTTTATAAAAAATTGTGCAGTCTTACCAGTTTTTACATTAAAAAGTCTAGAAGTAATTATAAAATAGAATCACTGAATAATACGCTATAACCTGATATTTTTACTTAATAGATTTATGTGGCAGATTTACATAAATATGTGAACCTGCGTGCATAAAAATTTCTGTGTGTACTTTGAAGAGTTCCGTAATACTCCACTGAATGGTTATACAGTTGTGTTAAACTGTCCTCTCTTGCCGGACAATTAAGAAATTAATATGTATTGCCTGTATGCATGTAAGTGCACCGTGTTGTCAGAAGAGGGCATCAGATCCCTAGGAACTGGAGTTAGGGATGGTTGTTAGCCACCATGTGGGTACTGGAAACTGAACCCAGGTCCTCTGCAAGAGGAGCTCTTAACTGCTGAGCCATCTCTCCAGCCCTGTTTTTTGAAGTCTTGTGAGCAGAATACATCCCTACAAAATGATTCTGATATTTTAAACTATGATAGATGATGCTAGATTGTCCTTCAATGAAATTTTGCATTTAGCCAAGTTACCTAATTGATTATGTGGCCATAAAGGCTAGAATCAAAATACCTTCTTCCAGATTTACAAGATTATCTTTGAATGCATTTACTCTGAAGGTATAGTATTTTGTACTTGAATAATAATTAGGTGCACCTTCGGAGCTCAAAACCTTTAACCTGAAATCTGCAGTTGTGCAGTTACCTAAAATGTTTATATTCTTTGTGTGTGTCTGATTGTACGTCTCTACATGTGTCTGTGTTTGTGCAGGAATAGGAGCCCTTGGCCTCCCGACATGGTCGAAGGTATTCTACCACTTAGCTACAGCCCCAGCCCTCATTTAAGGTCATGAATAAGAGGAGCCCAGGAGAGTCTTGACAAATGGAGTTTGCCTTAATTGTAGCCATTAGAACAGGTTCATTTATTTCCCTAGACATAGGGCTGCTCACAGATAAAATCCTGTTTAGATTCAAGCAGTGTGTGATACCCTCCAAAACCAGAAAACTTGGCAAGTGCTCCATTTACAAGTGTTCTTTGTATGCGACTAGCTGTCCTTTCCCAGATTTATCTCCCTTTGACTGCTGGAGAAAACTAAGATTTCTACCTTTGAAGTAACTTAGAATCTTAATTTTTCAAGGAAATGCTGTTAATTTTATACTGCTTAAAATTAATCAGATTATAAACTAGGGACTTGCCTGTATTAGCATGTCTTAGTAAGCACCATGCCTTTGTCATACATAACACTTAAAACTCAAGTGCACAAAAAGAATGTCAATCTCCCATTTCTCCAGTTACGGGATACTGGAGAGAGGACTACATACCCCAATCTAGATGTGTACCAGAGTAGTTTTCATCTTAAGGTGACTGTTGTAAAACACGCTCACTCCGAAGGAAGCATTGAAAGGTACCAATAATAAATTATTCAAGTGAAAATGAGCAGTGTTCTTACAATAACAGAAGCTGGCTAGTTAAAAACTAACAAGCGTGACTTATGGCAGGAACCAAGACAGAGCAAGGATGAAACTGTGACTATGTACCCTGGAGGCATGTATTGTGAGAATTCAGAGAATTAGCGGTGTCTTTTAAAGGGCTGAGTGTAGCTTCTCTAAGAATGTGTGGAGGCGCCCTCTGAGCACTCAGGAGACTGAAGCAGGAGAACCGCATGCAGGTTTGAGGCTGGCCTGGGCTATATAAGAGCCTGATTGTCTAGGAGGAACAGAACAGGATAGCACAGCATCCAGACTGACAGTTTAAGGAGATCGATCATTGCTGTTTTAGCAGTAAAGTATTTCATCTAAACTGTTAGTTTGGAAGCATCTGTAAGTGGTGAGAATTTGTATTTAAGGTTTAGAAATAGATTTAGGCAAGCTGGCCAAGGTGGCACATGTCCGTAATCCCTGCACATAGGAAGGAGGCAGAGGCAGTAGGGTCACTATAAGTTTGAGGTCAGCCTGGCCTACAGTCTCCGTCTCTGTCTCTTTCTTGTTTGTGTGTGTGCACACACAAGAAATCTAAAATCTGTTTAGGCTAAAGTGAGAGCTCTGCAGCAAACCACAGTGCTGTGAATCACCTATATAGTGGGTCAGAGCCCTCCATCTGTTCCCCCTCTGAGGAGGAGACACTAGTGCCATGATAACCACACACCTTTTTTTTGAATGTGTGAGTGTATTGCCTGCACATGAGTGTACCCATGTTGTGCAGTGCCACAGAGGTCAGAGAGGGCTTCAGATTCCCCCAGAACTGGAGTTAAGGACAGTTCATAGCCACCATGTGGGTGCTGGGAATCAAACCTGGGTCCTCTGCAAGAGCAGTCAGTGCTCTTAACCACTGAGCCGTCACTCCAGCCCCAACCATACCACTCTTAACAGCCCAAGTTCTCTGTTATGTAAGTGTATTTTGATGCTTCTACCCTTGTTTTGGGAGCAGGGGAGTGTTTTGTTTTTCAGGTAAACTGAAAATCTTTAGGGACTGGAAGTATATCTCAGTAGGGTAGGATGTTTACCTGGCATACACAAAGGCCCTTGATTTGGTCCTCTGTGCTACATAAACCCAGTATGGTGGCACATGCCTGTAATCCTAGCACTTAGAACAAACAGCTTAGGCTACAGGAGCCCCTGCCTTTAAAAAAAAAAAAAAAAAAGTTCCATGTAACTGATGTCTCTAGGCTTGTAGAACATCAGGCATTCTCAGGGATTGAATATAGGCTCCCCATGTGAGCCATGAGAGAGCTCTACCACTCATTGCTACCATATCTCAGGCATGCTGTATTATTTATTTAAAGATTTGTTATTTTTAATTGTGTCTGTGTGCGGGTATGTGCACATGAGTGCAAGTGCCCATGGAGGTTCTTTGTCAGTTCATGCATGTATATAATGCATTCTGGTTACTCTCACCCGCATTCTCTCTTACTTTTGTAGTGGGGTCTCATTGTGTAGCCCAGGGTAATCTTGAATTTCCAAGTCTTCTGCCTTCTAAGTGCTAGGATTGCAGGATTTATTCATTTTTATTTTGTGAATATAAGTGTTTGTTTGGCCTGTGTGTATGTTTATGTACCATCTGTATGCAGTGCCTAGGGAGGCCAGAAGAGGGCAGCAGATTCCCTGGAATTGGAGTTACAGAAGGTTGTGAGCCATCCCTCCTGCTCAGACTCCTGTATTATAAACTGAAAGACTTGATCATCCTGTTTGGATTCAACATTTTGTGCAACAATAATACATAGATGATACTTACTTTCCTATTCTATTATCTCAGAAAGTACATAGTATAAAGATTATCCTGATTTTTTGTTGTTGTTATTTTGTTTTGGTTTGGTTTTTTGAGATGGGGTCTTACTATGTAGCCATAGTTGGCCTGGAACTCACTAACACAGACCAGGTTGGCCTAAAGGTCACAGAGATTTGCCTCCACCACACCCTGCAGGTTGGCCTGATTTTTAATGAGACCAAATATGGTAGGTGGGTTGAAGTATAATAGGTTTTTTAAATGTAAAATTACTTTAAAATTGTGTATTTTCCTTTCCAATTTGTAATTGATCTGGGGTTGATTTTAGGAGGATTTTAGAACGTGACAAAACATTTTTATTACCAATAATGTTGATTGGAGGTGGGTTAGGTTGGGTATAAGTCTGGTTTCCTGGGTTAGAAGACTTTAAAGAGATCTGCCCTGGTTGGAAGAGTGTCCATTTGTGCTGGGAATAGTGGTGGATGAGAATGCAGCACCAAGAGGTACTGAAGAGAGAAGCACGGAATTGGAGTGAATTTGTTGAGCCATGCTATGGTGTTAAATGGGATTATCAGAGAAGAGATTATTTCTGAAAAAGTATCAGGGTTAGAACAGGGCTGCTAAAGCCCAGAGAAGTCGACTGTACAGTCATTTCTACAGTGTGAGTGTCCTCATCTAATTAGCTTTGTGCTTCTTTTAGGCCAGAAGATCAGTCCAGAAGGAAAAGCTAAAATTCAGCTTCAGCTGGTCCTGCATGCAGGGGACACAACTAACTTTCATTTTTCCAACGAAAGCACAGCAGTAAAAGAGCGAGATGCAGTAAAGGACCTTCTTCAGCAGCTTCTTCCCAAATTCAAGAGGAAAGCAAATAAAGAGCTAGAGGAGAAAAACAGGTGAAAGGATGAGCAAGCCTTGTTCGAGACACTGGGTTCCCTGCCTCCCTGTAAACTTGTCGCCTCACCTCATTTTGCTGTAACCTTGTAATACAGGAAAATGTGGTCTTTGGTATCTTTGCCTGTTTGATTCTCAACTTTTGAAACAGTAAGGTGTGTGCCTTTGGGCAAACAAGACTGTGTAAGTAAGCTCATAAATTGCTGCATCAAGCCTACCATTTGATTAGGAGCATTGAGACTAGAAGGTGCTGTGGTTCCTTTATTTCTCTCCCTAGTTCTCTGTCACAGAAAATACTAAACTATTAGAAGTATGTTTGAGATCAAGAGCATTTAAAACCATGAAAATTTCTGAGAAGAAGAGTCCTGTTGTGAACAGTGTCTGTCAAGCTCTTAGTACTTTAGCATGTCAGTGCTCGTCAGAATGATGAGTGAGTTACTGGGAACTCTTCGAGCTGACTCTTCCCTTGTTAGTCATCTTTCTGTGTGGAAGAGTATGGTGCTGACTTTGTATTGCAAGGATGCAAAAATGAACGTTGCCAATTCTATGCCCTTAGAGGATTTAGTTCTCTTTATTACTCCAAAAATTGGGGGGGGGGGGGTCCTATTGCTTGCCAAAAATTTAACCAAATAGCATGTGCTGCTCAGTCATCACAAAATAAAAATCATTTCAATGTTTCTTCTCACTGAAGTTTTAATAAAATATTACTCAAATGATGCTTTATTCCAGATGTTTAATTGTGTTTACTGTGTCCTATCACCAGAATGCTCCAAGAAGATCCTGTTTTGTTTCAGCTTTATAAAGACCTTGTTGTAAGTCAGGTGATCAGTGCTGAGGAATTCTGGGCCAACCGTTTAAATGTGAACGCAACAGATGGTTCCACATCCAACCACAAGCAGGATGTCGGCATTTCTGCAGCATTTCTGGTATGTGACTTCTAGATTTCTGAAGGGAAAAAAGAAAACTCCATTATATGTAAAATGGTGCCATTACAGGGACTGAGGTGTGCACACCTGTAATCATAGTGCTTGGGAAGTTGAAGCAGGAGAATCAGGTTTTGGGAGGGATTGGCGTGGGTATGGGTAAATGCAGGTATACTGCATATGCCATAATGTAGAGGTCAGAGGACAGCCTCAGGTGTCCACCTTGCTTTCCACTTTGAGACAGTCTATTCAGGATTTTTTCTGCCAGGCTCTCTGGCCCATGAGCTTCCGTCTCTCCTCTGTCTCCACCTCCTGTTTCCTGTAGCAGTATTAAGATTACGTGCATGTGAACCTAAGTGCATCTTTGCATGGGATCTGCAGGTTCGGGCTCAGGTGTTCCTGCACTTCCCACTGAATCGCCTGCCCAGCCCAGAAAAGCCATTCCTCTTACAAAATTTAGCATTTTCCTTGAAGTAAATTAGTGAAAAGTTTGTAGTCAGTGATACCCTTCTAAAATGTTTTAAATGGAAACAGTATTTTTTAAATGAGATAGGGTCTTGGTTGTAGTCCAGCCTCAGACTTGCAGTGGTCTTCCTGTCTCACTTCCCAAGAGAATACAGGTGTGTACCATCATGCCCAGCTCTGCCACTTTTTTAGAATGATTGCTGTATTTTACTCATAATACAAAATTCAGCACATAAAGGCTACCATAGTTTAGATTGGGAATACCTTTCCTGTGCAATTAAGAAATGGGTTTCTGAAGCTGAGTATGGTGGAGCATGCCTTGAATTCCAGCATTTTGGAGGCAGAGGCAGGAGGCTCTATGTGAATTTGAGGCCAGCCTGGTCTACATAGCAAGTTCCATCTAGCCAGGGCTACATGGTAAGACCCTGTCTCAAGAAAAAAAAAAAAAAAAACGAAAGAAATGGATTTCTGTCTACCAAAAAAAGAACAGTATTCCATGAGCAAGAGAGATCTGAGTGCTAGGTCAGGCGTGGCAGCAACACATCTGAAATCGCTGTGCTTGGGAGGCAGAGTAGGACAGTCTTTAGTTTGAGACCAGTCTGGGCTTCGTAAGGAGTTCCAGTCTACATAGAAAGACCCTGTCTAAAAAAGCAAAACAAAGAGCTGAAGGGATGACTCGGAGGTTAAGAGGACCTAAGGTCAGTTCTGACACCCTCTTCTGACCTCCGTAGGCATTGCATGACACGGATGTACTTACATACATGCAGGCAAAACACTCATACCTGTAAAATAAAGTATTTAAATTTTTAAGAAGGCAAAACAAACTTTAAAAATGTACCAATATATATGTTCAGTATCTTTCTGAATGACTTAGTAGTGGGTCAAATTTAAAGTTCCATTAGCTCTCCTTACTTTGACAAGCCTTGAACCATGTATTTGGCCATATCAGACTTCCAAAGAAGCAGATTTTCCAAGTCACTAAGACTCCAAGAAAAAAGTCCAAGGTTCTCTGAGCCCTGTCTGTGTATGGAGGAAATTTTTGCAGTTTGTTTAGAAAGACTTTTTACCTCCGTGCATTATCTATTGGGAGTTTAGACATACTTCCTATATTCTAAGAAATATATGTATAAATACATATGTGTTTGGTCTTTGTTTTAGGCTGATGTCCGGCCCCAAACAGATGGCTGTAATGGTTTGAGATATAACTTAACTTCTGATATCATTGAGTCCATTTTTAGAACCTATCCAGCAGGTAAGAACTGTCGGTTACTTATTTTAAACATCCTGTTATTAAAATAATTGTTTAGTTGAATTCTGTTAATATATTGGTGGAAACCTTTATTCCTGATTAAATACAGCCAAATATGTAAACTATTTTACCCAGTGCCTAACATGATAGATACCAAGGGCTCAGTAAATGGTGTGCAGTCACACATTCATTGATGTGGTGACTGTCATTCTTCCCCCCATTGGTTCTTAAACCTTAGCTCTCAACACATCTGGAATGAAATGAAATGTTAGAGACGTCAGTAAATGAGCTGCTCTGAGCCAAAACTTCAGCTTATACTATATCCAAAGAGACCTTCCCAACCCACAGATCACTTCCTATGCCTAAGCCATTCTGAAGGATACATGCCTTGACCCCAGCCCTAATGATTCATGATGTGCAGCCAGGGGTGGGAGCTCTGCTTCAGTTGCTCTTCTCACTAACACTGCTCCCTAAGACATGTATTGTCTTGTCCTTAGGAACACTTGTCAGAAATCCAAGCAGTGTCTCCTTGCTTCCTCTGTAAAATATCTTTCTGATCATAGCACAGTTCTGTAGTGTTGTGACAGATGCTGTTCTGAGGTCTTTTCCATGTACATTCATTTCATCATAAATATCTTATGAAGTAGGTGTTGTTAATGACCCTAAAGCCAAGTACAGAGAAATCAATTCATCTGCCCAGGGTCATCTAAACAGACCAATGGGGGGAAGACCTTTCATTTTCCCACCAGCACTGCCTTGCATTGAGAGCACACATATGTATATAAATGAAAAAAGCAAAGTCAGATCTAATTTATAGATTTGATGTTTGAAGAGCTTAATCTTCTTGGTACATAGTGATATTTGTAATTAGTGAAGTTTCATAGATAATGCCTTACCTAGTCTTGTTAGACTTTATAATAATATAGTACACAGAGGCAAGAGCTTCATAAGGACTTTTAATCTTTATTCCATTACTGATTTGAGAAGTTTTGAGAAATGGGAGCTCCAGCTGGGTGTGGTGGTGCAGGCCTTTAATTCCTGTAGAGGCAGGCAAATCTCTTGAGTTAGAGACCATTCTGGTCTATATAGCAAGGTCCAAGCCAGTCAAGGCTACACAATGAGACCCTGCCTCAAAACAAAAACAAAAAAATAAGAAATGGGAGCTCAGTAGGTAACTGTATCTTATGTTTTCTTCCCCCCACAGTAAAAATGAAGTATGCAGAAAATGTGCCCCACAACATGACAGAAAAGGAATTTTGGACCCGGTTTTTCCAGTCCCATTATTTTCATAGAGACAGACTAAATACAGGATCAAAGGATCTCTTTGCAGAGTGTGCCAAAATAGATGAAAAAGGTAACTCTTGGTCCCTGTCCATGATGCTCAGCTTGCCCACTCTTGATTGTTGGAGCTCTTAATGAAATTTTTTTAATGTATCTAAGGAAGATGAGCTCTGAACCTGTGTTGTCCTTGATTTTCTAGGATTAAAAACAATGGTTTCATTAGGAGTGAAAAACCCACTGCTAGATTTGACAGCTTTGGAAGATAAACCATTAGATGAGGTAAGAAGCATTAACAAAGGAGCTAGAGACAAATGACTTTTCCTGGTTCTCAGCATTCTTTGTTTTTAGATATTCCCTAAGTGTAGTTTTTAGACTCATAATATTCTAAAATAGGTAGAGTATTGTTACTTGCCAAAAACACATTTCTGTCTGCAAGAGGCCCTGGTTTGATCCACACACGCCTTTAAAAGTTGTGCTTTTTGGTAGTGGCTGTTTGCTGTTATAATTGTCTTAGAGTGCAGATGGCTCAGTGGGGAAAAGTGCTGCACAAGCCTGACTACCTGAGTTGGGGCTACAGAACCCACAGTGGAGAGAGCCAGCTCCAGAAGTTACCCTCTTCCCTCCACATGCATGCAGTGGTACATGTGCATCCATGCTCACATATATCACACACACACATGACCAAAATGTTGCCTTAGAGAAAACCGAAATCCTATTGAATTGCTAAATGTTTTGAGAAATAATTTTTAGGCCTTCCCATGAGCAGTTCTCCTGATACTTAACAAGACGTGACATGAGTCTAGCATTGTACTGTAGCTCATTTTAATCTAAAGAAGTATTGGTAAATACCGGTGGACAAGGAAGATAGCAAGCTTTTGTTGACCACCTGTTCTCTGTAAGAACTTGAGCCCTCTCCAAACTCCTAGCCCATGCCCATCTCAGTAAGTTCCAGCAGCCAGGCCTGGGCTAATTCCATCCCTGCCTCTATCTTCTGATTAAGAACCTGCCTTCCTGTTACCCACAACTGTGTTTTCATTTTCTTGCCCTTCTGGTTCTTATCTGCTAACCATATTGACATCCCCATACAATCGCTTTTTGTTTTCTTTTTCTGTCATCTCCCCACACCCCTACCCCATAACATTTTCCTCTAGTTTATCTATGTTCTCACCAGGTTAAAAAAAACCATTGTTATACAGTGTGTACTTCGTAACTTTCTTTCTCACCTCACTTATCAATTCAAAGTAAATACACTAGTTATTAAGTATAGAAGTAGGCTGATTATTTAGAGACAGAAAGTTGCTATGTTGATCAGGCCAACTTCAACTTCTCCCATAGTTAGAATTTCACACACAGGACACTACCTGGCTGTGTACCCGCTACACAGACTATACCAAATTACTCACTTTAGATGCTGACTTGGGGGTAGGGTGTGTACATGGGGGAACCAGAGGACAATCTTGGATATCATTTTTCAGGTACCATCTAAATTGGGGTTTTTGGTTGGTGGTTTTTTGCGGCAGGATCTCTCACTGCCTTGGGACTCACTGATTAGGCTGGGCTAGCACACAGAGAGCCCCAGGGATCTGCCTGTTGCCACCTTCCCAGTACTGGGATTACATGCACAGGTCACCATGACCTGCTCATTCACACCATTCTGGGGATCATACTCAGGTCTCGTGCCCAGCAAGCAATGTATGAACTAGATTTAACTTTCAGTCCTTGGATGCTGACATTAAACATTTGTAAGCTCACCTGTTTCTGGAGTTTTTTATTTGTTGTTTTAATTAAGACTAATAGTGATAACCTGTATTACATGATTGCTGTAGTAGTTAAAAGTTGGGCTGAGGGTATAGCTCAATGGTGGTGTGGATGTTTAGTATGCCTGAGGCCTTAGTTTTAATCCGAGCACCACCAAAAATAATGATAGTAATAGTGCCTGGTACATAATGTTCAGTAAGCAGTATTGTCTACATTTTTTAAATGCCTCCATGTTATTTGTAGATAGGGATATATGAAGTTATATAACCAACCTCTAATAGAAATGGCAGTTGATTCTGACTTTCCTTTGATACCTATTTTCCTATTAGCTGCCAAGTGTTTGTCACAGGATATGATTCCAGACCTCCTATTTCATTGCTTTAAATATTAATGGGAGCTGGAAAGATGTCTCAATGACAAAGAGCATTTGCTGCTCCTGCAAAGGATCCAGGTTTGGTTCCCAGCACCCAAGTACATGGCAGCTCATAACCATCTGTGACTCCAGTTCTAGGGCTACAGTGCCCTCTTCTGACCTCCGCAAGCACTGCACCATGCTGCACATAAATTTATGCAAGCAAAACACTCACACATATTAAAGAATAAACTAATGATGGAACAGTGAATCCCAAATAGCTCTGATCTAATTCCAGAACTCCCAAATCATTCACTAAACTGCCTGCTTTGTATCTTTACTTGGATATTTCACATGCAAAAATGAAGCCTTTGATTCTCATCCTCAGAAATCTGTTTCTTGCTGGCCTTTCTATATTTCACTTTAAAACATTAACATCTGCTCAGGCTGTAAGCTTTGCAGTCTCTTTGAACCTTCTTTCCTCCAGTTAAGTTGACCACCTGTCCTCTCATAGCACCTTTATTTCTTACTTGTGTGAACCGACTTTCAGGGTCTTAACAATTTATTAAATGATTACAAAGAGCCAAGCATGGTGTCACACGTCTTTAATCCCAGCACTTGGGAGGCAGAGGCAGGGGGATCTCTATGAGCTCAAGGCCAGCCTGGTCTACATAGTGAGTTCCAAGACAGCTGGGGCTACTGGGAGACCCTGTTTCAAAAAGACAAAAAAAAAAAAAAAAATGACTACAAAGTATTTCATTTATGCCATGTGCTAGGGAAGGACAATTAATGAGCAGGCAGCCTCATGAAACCTGCACTTTGCTGAGAGGAGATGGATTGGCAGTTATCAGGTGAATAAAGTAAAAGAATCTTTTTTGAAGATGACAGTTATGGGAGGGGCGGGCAACAACAGAAAGGTTGATGTGATGAAATAACTGCCTTGAAGGAGGTTATAGTTAGACCTTGGGAAGTTGATTGCCCTGCCCAAGCCAGCAGTTGGGAAAAAAATAATAAAGCCAGAATTCAAATCTATACCTTTTCATGGTGGTTTGTTCGTTTTCAGTGTGTGTTCATGGGGGAGGGGATGCACAAGTGTGTGCACAGGCCAGGGGCCACCTCGGTTGTCATTCCTCAGGTGCCATTCATCCTTTTTTTTATTCTGACAATTTCATGTATGAATATGATGAATTTTCTTCATTTTCACCCCCGTTACCCACTCCCATTCCCCTTCTCCACTGAAACATTTCTTCCCAACAAACGCCCTCCTACTTTTATGTCTGTCTGCAACCCACTGAGTTTAGGGCAACTTCATAGCTAAACAACTGAAAACACTGAGACGCCTTCCCCTAGTCATGATTAGCTGCCAGTAGTCATGAGCTTGTCTCCCTTCTGATGAAGCGAGGACGGGCCTAGTCTTGTGTAGGTCTTGTACGAAAGCTGAACTGAGTTCATGAGTGCAGTGATCATGTCATGTCCAGAAGATATCTTTCTGCAACTGCCCCTCCATCCTGCAGTTCTTCCTGTTCTCTGAGCCTTAGAGGGGTGATATAAATCACCTATTTTGGGTTGAGCTCGCCACCATCCCTTATCCTCAGCACGTCAGTCCGTTACGAGTCCCTCCCACTGATGTTGGCAGCTTCTGTGGTGAAAGCTGAGAGCTGCATTGATGTATAGGTAGAAACATGAGCATTTAGAAGGTAATTGGAGTGAGTGCCAGGCCAGCTGGAGCTACAAGGAAACTCTGTCTTTCAAAAAGACGAAAAAAAAATGAAGGTAGTTTGACCGTGTGTCCATTTAGCAAAATGATAGCAGTAGATTCCCCTCCCTACCCCACCCCCAGGACCTGTGATCTCCCCAACTACCAGTTCTTGAGCAGGTTTACAGTACCAGACATGAATTCCGTCCTGTGGCACAGACATGGAATCCAACCAAAAAGCAGTTATCCCCATGATGTTCATGCCTCTATTGCACCAATGCACACATCTTACCAGGCTATTTCATGAGGCCAGATCTCCCACTGGCCTGAGACTCACCAACTAGTCTAGGCTGGTTGGCCTGCAAGCCCCAGGAATCCAACAGTTTCCATGTCTCCAGTGCTGGAATTCAAAGTGTATACTGCTGCCAGGTGTGGTGGTGCACACCTTTAAACCCAGCTCTCAGGAAGGCAAGTGGATCCTTATGAGTTCAAGGCTAGTCTGGTCTGTAGCAAGTTCCAGGCCAGCCAGGGCTGTACAGTGAGACGGTATATGCTGCCATACCCAGCCTTTTTTTTTTTTTCACAAGCATCTGGGATCGAACTCGGGTCCTTGTGCTTGCAAGGCAAATAATTTACTGACTGAGCTGTTTTCCAAGCCCTATTTGTTTGAAGACAGGGTTTCTTGTATTCCAGGCCGGCCTCAAACCCTTAGGCTGGGATGGTCTTGAATTTACAGGGGACTCTGCCTCTCCACTCTAGTTCTGGGATTGTGAGCATTTGCCTTCATTACTATTTTATGTGGTGCTGGGAGTTGATCCCGGGGCTTCATTCATGGGATTTAATAAAAGCCTATTATCTGTCAAATTTTCTTAACCAACCATATATTTTGTAATAGGTACAATCGGAATTCTATTTTGATGTTTAATGTACGGAATTGTCTCTCACAGGGCTATGGCATTTCCTCTGTGCCATCTGCTTCTAACCCTAAATCCATAAAGGAGAACAGCAATGCTGCCATCATCAAAAGGTTTAACCAGCACAGTGCCATGGTCCTGGCAGCCGGTCTCAGGAAACAGTTAAGTATCACGCGGGCTCAGTCTCAGCTCTCAGCACAGAGAGGGAGATGCTAGTGGTGCTGTCCGGCTTACCACTTCTAGCGTTAACTTGTTTTCTCTTCTTTTCAAGACAAGCACAAAATGAACAAAACGGTGAGCCCAGCAGTGTAGATGGAAATTGTGGAGATGCAGATTGCTTTCAGCCAGCAGTCAAAAGGGTATGGGCACAAAAATTGGGCCATTTTGGGATTGAGTTTCTCCAGGTATAAGGTATCTGTACATCTTTTATGTTATTTCCTGGGGTTTTTTTTTTGACCAAGATATTAATGGAGATACTCATTTGTAAAACTTTATAAAATTCTTCAACTTAGCCTTCCGGCCAACTTTCCATTGACTCAGTTCTGAAAAATGTTTTTTATTGGGGTTTTCCCTTCACGTGTATTTATACACACAAATTGTATCTGTGATTTTGTTTTCTGGGAAAGTTATTCAAAAAAGGCAGTAGATACAGAGAAAACTTTTCAATTTGATATGTATGACTTAAGAAAGTACATTAGCCCTCCCTTAAACCTAGCATTTCATGGTTGGGAGTGCCTTACTAAATGTTACGTCACTTGGAAGAATGTGAGAATCCAGGTAGAGTTGGCTGCTTGCTCTGTGTCTAAGTCTCTTCTGCCCCATTTGTAGAAATTATACTTTCTTAGGCAGTCAGGCAATATATAAAAAGTTTAAACGTTTATAGGTTTATGATCTTTTGTGTGTGTGCGTGTGTGTGTGTGTGAGTGTGAGTGAGAGAGAGAGAGAGTGTGTATTGTCCGCATGTACGTGTGAGTGCACCTGTGTTGTGCGTGCAATGCGCGGAGGCCAGAAGAAGGCTTCGGATTTCCCCTGGAACTGAACTGAAGTTAAGGACAGTTCATAGCCGCCATGTGGGTGCTAGGAATTGAACCCAGGTCCTCTACAAGAGCAGTGAGCACTCTTAACTGCTGAACCATCTCTCCAGCCCTGGTTTATGATCTTTATACTAATTCTGTGCAGAGAATCAATTCTGCCTATTTGTTTTTTAAAAAAGATGTTGGAGGAAGGGAAATGTGTACAAAGACTTACCCAGAAACTTATCACAGGACTATAATTGAGAAAATAACAAACATCTTTTTAAAATTATACTTGTATTGATTGTTTGAGAACCTCATACAAGACACCCTCCCCTGTCTCAGATGTGCACCCCCACCCCCATTTCCTCTCCTGGATGGTAGTTTTTTGTTTGGGGGCAGTTTTTTATTGTTGTTGATTTTGGTCTTTTTGAGGCAGTCTCCCTGTAGCTCCAGTTGGTTGGAACTCAATATGTAAACCAGGCTGACCTGCCTCTGCCTTCCCAAGTGCTGGGATTAAAGGCATGTACCCCACACCTAGCCCCACCTGCTCTTGGTGTGGGTCTGTCCCTTGGAATCTGGTCAGCCTACTCAGCATCACACCCTTAATGAAAACTGACCCCCTCTCCCAGCAGCTATCAATTGCCGATAGTTCTAGGCTATTGCTGGGGTTTTTGTCTAGCCTGGGCTGTCATAGGTCTTGTGCATGCTGTCAACAGGAGCTATGGGTTCACATGTGCAATTGCTCTGTTGTGTCTGGGAAACATGGGTTTTTTTATTCATCCACCACCTCTGGCTCTTAATCTTCCTGACCCCTCTTCCTCAATGATCCCTGGGCCTGGGGGTGTGATACAAATACCCCATTTAGGACTGAACACTCCACAGTTTATTTTCTGCTCATTGACCAGTGTGGGTCTTTGAATAACAAGCATCTTTATCTCTGTGGTATAATGTAGGTGCTCTACTCAGCCTTTGTAGTTTATTAACGTCAATGGGGCTGGAGTATAGCTTAGTGGTAGAGTGTTTGCTGACGATTCATAGGGTCCTAGATTCAGTGCCCAGCACCAAAAAGGTACAATTGTAAAAAAGAGTGAAATACAGACCGCCCCCCAACTTAAAACTGCTGAATTTTATGATGGCTTTATCGGGTGTTAAATAAGTTTTCAGCTTATGATATTTTCAGGTTGTGGTTTTATCAAGACATGCTCTACTTTAAAGTAGAAAATGCCTGTGTTGCATCAAGAAGAGCTCACAGAACCAGGTGCAGTGGTGTATGCCTATATCCAGCACTTGAGAGACTGAGAGACTCAAGTTCTAGGCCAGTGTGGGCTATAGGTATTTCATATGGCAAGATCCAGACTAGCATAGGCTGCATATCGAGACCCACCCTGCCTCAGAAAAAAAAAAAGAAATGAGCAATTGCAAGAAAGAATAGATGGTGTGGGTGTCATGTCCAAGTCTGTGTATGAATTTTTAAAGGCCTTCAGAAGAATATTCTAGTCATCTGTCAGTAAAAGCATATGTGATTCTTAAGTTTTGTGTTACTTTAGTGTGTTTCAGCCAGCGTCTCACCATTAAAATTAGCAAAGTAATGAGATAATTCTTTTTGAAATAAGAAAAGTATTAAGATGTAAACTAGAAATTTAGTGAAATCTAGAAAGTGGTAGGTTTCTTTGCTGTGCTGTTGGCCTAATCTGATTTATGGTAATGAATGTTTTGCAGAGCTGGGCCTGAAGGTGAATGCCTTTAATCCCAGCACTTGGGAGGCAGAGGCAAGTGGATCTCTCTGAGTTCAAGACCAACCTGGTCTACATAGCAAGTTCTAGGCCAGCTGGGGCTACAAGAAGACCCTGTCTCAAAAAGACCAAAAAACAAAACAACAAAAATCCTCATTTCTTGTGTTAGTTTTCACAGTATTCAGTAGTAAATACTGGCTTTCAATATCCTTCAAGTCAGTGATTGAGTAATGTATATCTTCAAGGGACTATAGAATAAGAATGCCTGGCATGTGTGAGACCATGAAGGTCTTGCCCACCTCCACCTCAGAAAAGTGTAATAGTAGACAAAGACCCTATGTGTGTGGAGTTTTCAGTTAAGCATACAGTCTAGTGTTCTAAGGAGACTGGCAGAACTTCAGGATTTGGCCAAATGATGTCTTTTCGTAAGGCAGTCACAGAGGTATGAAATAGCTATAAAGACACTGAGGTCGTAACCCGTGGCAAGAGTGCTCACATAATATGTACAAGGTCCTGAGTTTGATCTCTATCACCACGAACAAGTTTTTGTTTCCTTAATATGCTTTTTTTTTAAAAAAAAAAAAAAGTCCACCAGGTGTGGTGGTGCATGCTTTTAATCCCTGCACCCAGAAGCAAAGGCAGGCGTGGATCTCTTGGAGTTTGTAGCCAGTCTTGTCTACATAGCAAGTTCCAGGCCTACTGGGGCTATGTAGTGAGACCCTGTCTTAAAAGGACACACACACACACAAAAAAAGTCTTTTTATTTAAGTACCTAATTTTAAAAAAAAGGAAAGCTTGAACAAGTAACTTGTGAGGAAAATTAGAAAATGGAAATTTTGGTATAGTAGATTGGTAAATTTTTAAGTTCTATAATAGTGGGATCAGAATGTAGAGAAATGGGTGCATAATGTACCTGTTGGTGAGAAAAACTGACTTAGCCATTTAAAAGGCAGTCATCTGCAGCTCCTAGTGGAGAGCTGAACTGAAGAGCCCATTTTCCATCTTTGTGAAGGTTTAGTTTTTCAGTCATGCTCAGTGCTTGTATAAGAGAAAGTTACTGACAAAAATACTATGTTGATAATTATAGGCAAAGTTACAAGAGTCCATTGAATATGAAGACTTGGGAAAAAATAATTCCGTAAAAACAATTGCACTAAATCTCAAGAAGTCAGATAGGTAAGTTTGGTCAGCGGTAAGTTAACTCGAAGCAGAATATTTAGTCAGTTTCTTATAAAATACAGTATAGTGTGTTTTTTACTGTGTATACATGTATGAAGGTGTGCATACCTGAGTGCAGTGCCTACAGAAGCCAGAGGCGTCCAATCTCCCTGGAGTTGGAGTTAAAATAGGCTGTGAGCCTGGCAACATGGGTGTTGGGAGATTATGCATGTTAACTGCTGAGCCATTTCTCCAGCCCCAACAGCATACTGTTTTCTTTAAAATTTGCTTTGTTACCTGGTGTGATGATGTCTACCTGTAGTCCCGACAGTAGGAAAGTGGTGGAAGCAGGAGGCTCAGAAGTTGAAGACCATCATTAGCTACACAGCAAGTTGGAGGCCATCCTGGGCTAATGATAACCTATCTTTAAAAATTACTTTGTGCCTAGCTGGAAAGCATTCTAAATGATCAAAGCCAAAGAAAATTGATTTGGGATATATGTGTGTGTGTGTGTGTGTGTGTGTGTGTGTGTGTGTGTGTGTATGTGCTTGTCACAAGTGCCACAGCAAGTATGTGAATGTCACAGTAGAACTTAAGGGAGTCTATTCTCCCCTTCCACTGGGAATCGAACCCAGGTTGTCAAGACTTGGCATCAGGTGCCTTTACCCACTGAGCCATCTCACTGGCCCAAATTTTGGATCTTTGTGCTGGGTTTTTTTTTTCTTCCTTACCTGTTATGGGAGTTAAATTATTACCTTGAAGTCTCTTCAAGAATAGTGTAGTTTTTTGCTTGAGGGGGTAATGTAAAAGAAAGATGGATCTTAAGCACCTTCAACCTATAATTGTCACCTCTTCTGTGCTGACCTCCAGGTATTACCATGGACCTACACCAATCCAGTCACTGCAGTATGCCACGAGCCAGGACATTATTAATTCCTTTCAGAGTATTAGACAAGAAATGGAGGCCTACACACCCAGGCTAACTCAGGTAGGTAACATTTACTGTGTGAAGACCAGATTCCTTGTAGCTCCTACCTCAGTTTATGAGCATAACCGGATGCAACTATGTAGCTAAATTTTTTAATTATTAACTGGGTTCCAGAAGGCTATTTTCATGCAGATATATAATGTACTAGGAACATGTTCCTCCCTATATCCAGCAACTATCTTAGAAGAACCAAGAGGCAGGGAGGAAACAAATCCTAGTCATCATCTGGAGACAATGAAAATTCATGAGTTTTGTTATTGCCAGCTATTTACTCCCATATACTTAAGTTAATTGGGAAAATCTCCCAGATAACCAGGTTGTACTAAGGACACCACTCTGAGTCTCCTACATGACCTCACCCTCAGAATGACTAAAATGAAGCCAATTACCTGGTCTTCATTTTTCTGAGCCTTCACACAGTCCTGTGAGTTCTTCAGTGAACGTTTCTTGGCACCATCATCTTGGTTTAGACAGTTTTCCAGAGTTACTACGTTATCCTGCAGAATTCTCTGATCACTCTGCAGTATAAAAACTCACATTGCCTCCCTTCATTACCATCGTAATAGTTGTGCCTTTTTCTACTATGCAAAACTATCTCATACAGAAAAATAAAAATTTTTTAACTCAATCCCCAAATAAAAGAGTGATTAGTATACTAGAAACTGGGAAAAGGTATCGGGGGGAGTGGGAATAAGAGACTAGGGACTCGGAGAATGTTGGGGGGATAAGAGAAGGGTGTGTGGATGTGGTCAGTGCCCACTGCAGGCATGTGTGGAAGAGCTCTGTATTCCAGCCCAACACTGAGCTGTCCAGGATCTGGAGTACATGAATTGTCTATTTCTGGTATTTTTCTAGTAAAAATTAATTTTTTATTTACTTATTCATACATGTGGAGGTCAGAAGATAGCTTGCAGAAGTCTGTTATCTTCATCATGTGGGTCCCAGGAATCAGATTCGGGTTGTGAGTCTTGTCAGCAGGCACCTTTACAAGAACCATCCGAACAATCCCTAGTTTGTATTTTTCAGACCACAGTTGACTGCAGGAAACCAAAACTCTCAAAAGCACAATTACAGAGGCTGGAGAGACGGCTCAGCAGTTGAGAGTACTTACTATTCCTCCAGAGGACCTGAGTTTGTGTCCTAGCACCCACATAGTGGCTAACAGCCATCCTTAGCTTCAGTTCTGGGGGATCTGGCACCCTCTTCTGGCCTTCGTGGGTAATAGGCATGCATGTGTACACTTACATACAAAATTATTTATTTATTTATTTATATAGGAATGAAGACTTCACCTTCTGCTATAAAACTAAAATGTTACAAAAGATTCTGAAAGGAGGGAGGGTCAGTTTCTGTGTCATTTCTTTCAGGTTCTTTCAAGTAGTTCTGCTAGCAGCACCATCACAGCACTGTCACCTGGAGGAGCACTTATGCAGGGAGGGACACAGCAAGCCATAAACCGTACGTGTTGGCCCCTTCTGTCCCTGTCCTTAAATTAGTGCTAAAGGAATGCTAACATTACAGTGGATTTTCTTTTTTTTAATATTTTATTTATTTTTATGTGCATGAGTGTATAGCCTACATGTATGTATGTATGTATGTATACCTGTGTCGTGCAATGCCCACAAAGGTCAGAAAGGGCATTGAATTGAATCCCCTGGAACTGGAATTACAGATGGTTGTTAGCCACCATGTAGGTGCGTGGAACCAAACCAGGTCCTCTGCCAGAGCAACCAGTGCTTTTAACCACTAAGCCATCTCTCCAGCCCCTGGCTTTTCTTTTTTTATTCTTACTACATTTTGTGTGTGTGTGTGTGTGTGTGTGTGTGTGTTGGGCATGTGCATGCATGTGTGCATGAGTAGAGGTCAGAAAACAACTTTGAGGAGTCTGTCTACTATATGGGGGCCTGAGCTGAGATGGCGAAGCTTGGCCTGTGTTGGTTTTTCTTTAGGGAAGGACTGAGGTCTTTGCTGAGCGGTGGGATTGTGGGTATATGTTGCCAGGACTTCATGCATGCTACATGCAGTGTACCACTGAGCTATACCCTAGCACCTTGAAGAGCCATTTGTTTAGCTACTGTACATGTGTGAAAACAGCTCTTACCCTCTGGCCCTCTTGTTTCTTTTGCAGAGATGGTGCCAAATGATATTCAGTCTGAACTGAAACACTTGTATGTAGCTGTTGGAGAACTTCTGAGGCATTTCTGGTCCTGCTTTCCTGTTAATACACCATTCCTAGAAGAAAAGGTTAGAGTTGGTTCCACATACAGCCATTTATTGTATTATTTTAGTGAGGTATTATTTTTAAATTGGAAAATTGTACAGAGTTTACCATGTGTCAACTGGTATAACCATTAGGCATTCTTACTTTATTTAGGCTGGGAGCGGGGAGGCACAGAGGGAAGGAGGGAGGATGGATTTACCTTGAGGAAGTAAAAGTGTGTTTAGGTATTTATTTAGTCAGAGGAAAGTTCTCACCACTTTGTAAGAATGAGAAAATAGAAGTGGATTGCTTGTGTGCTTATACATTCAAATATTGTTTAGGTTTTAAAATCATGATTAAGACAAGTATGTACTTCTGAAATATGTTCCCAGTAAATGAAATTTTAAAATACAGTATGTAGCCAGGCATGGTAGCGCACACCTTTAATCCCAGTGTTAGGGTCCGTGACTCGATGGGTCCCCTCCAGATAACAAATACACGGGATTGGAGATGTAAAAATCAAGCAGAGTCTTTACTTTCCAGCCGGCTGGGGTCGACCGGTTTCCCAAGACATGCAAGTCTGGTCAGAACGATCGACCCCCATTCAGTGTCAGATACAGATTATATAGGCCCACATAGTCATTACACAAAAAGCATTCCTCAGCAGACACTTTGATCAAACATCTTCTAAAAGCTATAGTTTCGGTTAAACATCTTTTCCAGGAAGGCTAGATCTGGTGTAAGCCTGGTGCAACTTCCTTCTCTTTGTTCCTTATCGGTTATCTGGTATGTGCAAACAGGCCTACAGGACACATTGTAAAGCAACTGAGTCTGGGGTCCAGGGTCCAGGAAGGAGGTTTACAGCACTTCAATTCTTAGCATTTCAACTAGGTTAATCATCCATGTGTGGTAGATACAAATCAGGCAGAACAGGCAAGCTTAGCAAGTAAATCTAAATCAACATTTTAAACAGAGTTTTCTATCAAAATGCAGAGTTCTTACAGCATTCATCAAGGTATTTCATTTTTTTTCCCAACATTCCCCCCCCTTGTCTTGGTAAAACTGAGGAATCTTCCTCAGCCGACTCTACAACCTGGTGCTTCTGCCGCAGCACCAGGAGATGAACCGAGTCTATTCTTTCTTGGACAAACCTCAGCAGTCTGTTTACTATACAGGGCCCAATCGTGACAAGCAAGAGAAGGATAATTAAGGGCCCTGCAATGGCGGAGAGAAGGGTTGACACCCAAGGAGTTTGATTAAGCCAAGAGCTGAACCACCCTTGACTGGCTTCCCTTTCCATCTTTCGTTTCTCTAATCCCTCTCGTATCTTTGCCATGTTATCCTTTATTATACCTGAATGGTCTTTGTAAAAACAATATTCTTCTTTCAGGGCAATACACAGTCCCCCTTGCTGTAGAAACAGGAGGTCCAGCCCTCTGCGATTCTGTAACGTGACTTCAGCCAGGGATCCTATAGAGTCCTGCAGTTTGGTTATGGATTCTTCTATTCTTTGTAGATCTAAATCCAGGCTAGTGCGCAAAGCATTATATTGGTCCCTCCCTTGTATCAGGGCAGTGGCTCCAGTGCCAACTCCTGCTGCTACACCTGTACTAATTAAGGTTGCAAGTGTCACGGCTAAAAGCACTGGGGTTCTCCTAGAACGCATCGGGAAAGGAAGAGAGGGAGTGTAAGTCTGCAGAAACTCTTCCTCTGAGTGATAAACCAAATGGGGAAGAAGAATTGTAAGAACACAAAAACCTCCTTCCTTAAGAACATCCACCGAAATACAAGGGGTTAATCCTGAGGAGCATGCCCACCAAGTATTTGGAGGGGGAATAAGGAAGGCCCCTCTTGACTCAGAGAGATTCTTGGTCTGGTTACAGAGGGAAGAGTATTGTAGTGGAATCTCACCGAGGCATAGTCCCGATCCTGAAATCTGCTCCAAAGTAATTTTAGGTATCGTACCCCATGCACATTGGGAGACATTATGGGAAACGTTGTAGGAACCCATAGTAGCAATCCCCTCTAAATAGGGAGGGGTAACAGTATAGCAGAGACAATAAGATCTGGCCAATTCAGGGCTAGTTACATTTAAGAGGCTATAAGTTTGATTTATGATTTTAACAAATTCCTGTGACCGCCTGTAATAGCGGATCTGAGACAAAGGCTTAGGAGGCCTTTTGGTAAATCCTGTAGGTAGAGTTGGGCCAGGAGGAGGAGAGGGAGGGGCTCCCTTGGGCGTATCCATGGTAACTCTTGGGACTAGCACTGGGTTGGGCCCTACTGCCGTGACGAAAGGCACCTGGCGCCTAGTGATTGTAAACAAAATTGCAGACCCATAGTTATGCAATCGCAGGCCCCAGGTGTTAACCCCTTCCCATCCGGAGAACTTTTTTCCTTTTTCTGTGAATCTGATAAGCAAAGGGTTGCAGGCTTGTGGTTCGAGCCCCCAAGTTGGCTTACAAGGGGGGCCTGTCACATCTCGTTTGAGGGTGATGTAGTCCCCACGGGCATTACTTAACCAGTATGTCTGACCCGTGGTCTCACAGCCCCATCGTGGGCAGTAGTACTGGTCTGGTCTCCCACAACTGGGCTCATACTGTGGCCCTGGGCAAACATAGAATTGTTTTTGTCTAAGGTAGCGAACTCCCGACTCAAACTTGCAATTGTATCCGTAGGAGGAGTCTTCCACATCTCGGGTAATCGCTACCCATTCCCGGTCCCAGGCCCCGTCTACCAAAGTACAGAGATCCATATCTAAAGGTGGCCACCAGGTATTGGGGAGATACACGGCCGACCACGTTAACACTGGGGACCCAGTTTCCAAGTTAGTGACAACCCAAGTAACTTGCACTGGTATGTGCGGGTTGGTCCCATCTGCAAAATGTCCACAGTTAGTTGCTAAATAATATATTACCAGCAGCATCCTCACCCATCCAGTCTGCGTGGAGAGCTTCATAAGGGAGTCTCAGTGGCGGCAGGGATGCTTGGCAAGTCCTGAGACAGC